ACTTTCAACTAATTCACTTTGAAATTTTTTACTTGACATAAAGAGGTGAAGGGAAGTGGACGGAGATGATAGAGATTATTACTTCTCTTGGGGTGCTTGGTGATCAGCCAACTACGTTATTAAATAATGCCACCACACTAAGAATAATGTTAGGAGAAAACCCAAAATTTAAATTCATAGTTGATATGATCATTTTGTGCATTATTTTATTTGAAGTTATACCCTTAATTAAAACAAAATGAGAAAAAATAATATAATCCCAAATAGTAAGGAACTTAGGATAAGGCTTTATTTAGTATGTGTTGTACATATATATATATATGCATATATAGTTATAAATTTTTTTTTTGGGGGGTAAAGAATACAGATAGATATATGGATATATAGAAAGAAAACTAACACATTCTTCTCTCCTTTAAGAACTTGAACTTTTTGCTCCTACTAAGAACTTGAATGTTGATCTCGCTACATTCTTTAATGGTGAACCAAGTGGCAAATTGATGGTGAACATTGCATCAACAGATCCCAATGCGCTATCAGATGATTATGTTCCACTTGGTCCAGATTGTTGGAGAGTTTGGATTGATGATGTGATCAAGATGGATTGTCCTTTGTATCAAGCAAACCTATCTAGAATGTATTATCTTTGTGATGCTCACACAAGCGCAATTATTTGGCCTACGAAATTTGTGAAAATTCTAGAGGTAATCATTAAGTACCTTTTTTTTTTTATTTTATAATAAAGTAGTCATTATTATATGATTTTATTTATTTATTTATTTTTTATTGTTGGCATTAATTTTTTAAAATTTTTTCCTCACAGGAATAATTTTCACAAGGTCATTAGGAGCATGCTCAAAGGTAATATATTTAACTCATATGTTCCATTTTTTAATTGTTGTCTTTTTTTTTTCTTTATAAATTGCCAATTATATATTTGGATGAATTATACATTTCTACCTCCATGTTATACTCATGTTAAGGGGGTCACGTGCCTTAAAGTGACCAATTTTGCGGTGTATATAGGGGGTCACATGCCTAAAGTGACCAATTTTGCGGTGTATATGGGGGGTCACATGCCTAAAGTGACCACTTTTGCGGTGTATAGGGGGTCACATGCCTAAAGTGACCAATTTTGCGAAAGTAATAGTTGCACATTTTTCTGTTAATGTTAAAATATGAGTAGCAATGTTTGAAATTATAATTTGCTGTTCCATTAAACAATGCTATATATTTGGATCCTACACTTTGAAATTAATGTCCATGAATTTGAATATAAAAATGGCAGTAATAATATATCATTCTGGTTTCTGGATGAAGCTTTATATGAAAATTCTGCTGATCAGACTCTTACAATGTTTCAACTTTCAACTAATACCTCACATCAGCCGGCAATAAATTTGTCTTTTTCCTATAAAGTATAGCCACACTCTCGTCATGTTTCAATTCGATTCTCCTAATGTTACGCTACTTTGTAGTAAATTAATTGAGTTGTTTAGCTACAGAAAGCTAGCCCCTATATGTTTGTAGGAAAGGTCCAAATTTGTTTAGCTACAGAAAGCTAGGCCCTATATGTTTGAGGAAAAAAATATAAATACAACGTAAACCTTTTTATTATAATACTTCATAAATAACAGAGTATTTTAACAAGATAACAGGGTATATATGCCTATTTAGGAAGAAAATGTATTATGGAAAATGTTTCAAATATTACATCAATACTCCACCAAATGAAGATTTTTTTCACTTAAATTTCCACGTACTAATATTTTTATACCTATTCAGACCTTCCCAAATACAACAAGCCACTTGACCACAGAGTTTAGGGTGCAAGCCATAACTAGTATTTATAATTTTGTGGACCCTGTAAAACAACTAAATGTTTGACAAAATGGAACAAAGTATTTAGCATGAAAATCTCCAAATTTGATTATTCCTTTAATACTACTACTAGAACTTACAAACATATATTAAACTGAAATGAGTTCTTCTTCATTTCTTTTATATTTCATATTCCACTTTCACTTCCTATCTTTAAAAAGTGTGTTGAAACAGCTCTCAAATTAATTTTTGCAAGCCTCTAACATAAAGTAATCTTATAATGCATGTTTTGCCCTTTTAACCTTTTGAAATGTTCAAGGGCGTGTGTATTATATATATTCTCATAGTGTATTTAATCAATTTTTGAAGTTTTTCTCAGTATATATAATGTTGTTTCTTGTGCTGAAACATTTTGGTTAGATCCTAATTACAAATAAGATAGACTTTAATAACTTTTTGTTATGATATATATGAAGTTTATTTTGACCAACAATCTCTCCTTTCACCAGCATATCTATAAATTAATTCAAATTTTCCTATAAATTTATACATGTATAAATCAAATAAGATTTAATCGAACAAAAAATATGCAAATCACATATCATCGTGTGTGTATATATAAAATTACATATCATATATCCTGTGCATTGAACAAAATACACACAAATTAAAGACCTTTTTTTTTTTTAAAAAAAATAATATGTAAAAATTTTCAGTTAGAGTAATTTGGGCATATCATAATGTTAGGTGTGTGCTTCCAGTAAATATCACACCTTGATACTATGAGAGTATTTTGTGCACGTGAAAGGTGTGATATTTACTGGAAGCATGGTAGAGGGTTATTTTCCGCACTTAACCCTCTGTCAAAATAAGAAACACAAAAGGTTTGAAATCCAGTATTTCTAAGAACAAATGGAAAGGAAGCTCGTGATCACTGCAGCTAGTAAGTTGGTCACATGAAGTGGGATACCACTACATAATACTTTCTATAAGCATTCAAAAAAATAATTATTTTTGCCTAACACATAACTGTCCATACATAGAAAATAAAATAGATTTAACTTTTCTACTAAACCAATTCAAGTAGACATCCAAATGCTGCATACAATGTACTGAACTAAGTGGCACATAATAGAGTATGAGATGCAAATGATTTTTATCCATTCTTTCTTTCTTTTATTTTTTTTTTATTTTATATTATTTTATTTTATTTTTCTAACAATTAAAAACACGTCATGTTTAGCATTTTGTAATTGATATTTCTTTATTTATCCGGTTTCACAATGACCAAAAAAATTCAGGGAATATCAAAATTTACTTGAGAAACTAACAAACAAATCAAAAATTATCCTGTTATCAATGAGCATAAGTTTCCACTTGTGCACAAGTATTCTGTATTCTATCATGCATTATGAATATTTAATTGATTTTTTTTTTCTTTTCATTTCAAATACTTAAAACTTAGCATACTGATATTAAGAATTGTGTGATGCAGCTACCTGCTTGGATTTTGTATCATAGACAACGAGGTGGAGGATGTGTCTGAAAAATTGACAGTCAAGTTGTGCCGATGATTGAAGAACAATGTGAAGATTTACTTGTTGATATGTTTTTGACAAACATTGGAATTTCTTTTGCAATTTGGCACATAGAACCATGATGAATTGTCTTTTGATATGTTTAATGGTGTATGAATTATGAAATCTTTTGATATGTTTAATGGTATATGTTGAATTGTAAAATTGTCTTTTGATATGTTTAATGATGATTAGGTAGCATTAATTGAATGTTAAATATAAATAAATAAATGTGTTATTTACGTGGCTTGTGAAAAAAGTCTTTACATTATTTACATGGAGAAAATCACCCCGTAGAAAAGTTTTTTATAGTTAGCAATATGTATTAACGAGTGGCTAGCGGTACCATAAATAAATTATTAACGAGCGGCTAGAGGCATCGTAAATAAATTATTGACGAGCGGCTAGCGGTACCGTAAATAAATTATTAACGAGCGGCTAGCGGCACCGTAAATAAATTATTAACGAGTGGCTAGTGGCACCGTAAATTAATTATTAACGAGGGCTTCTTCCATTGTAAATTAGTTATTAACGAGTGGCTAATGTCTCATACTTTACTGTTTTACGAGCATTGCTAGCCCCCGTAAAAAGTTAAGAGCATTTACAAGGGCATAATAGACGAGGATGTCAATTGCGTTTTCACGAGGTGTTTGGGCGCTCGTAAAAGACGTTTTTTCTTGTAGTGATCCTTGGTGTATAAAATGACCATTATACACCTAGTTTGTCCTCGGGGTCGGATAAGAACCCATAATTGGATCATTATCATTAATGACTTGAATCCATTGGGTTTGGGTCTTTACAAAAATTTTAAAACAATTTAAGTAATTTCTTATTTTTTCATGAATATACTGCAAGAAAAAATAAGGTATTTTTTATTTAAGTAATTTATCAAATTTTCATGGATATATTGTATGAAAAAGGAAGGTATTTCTTTATGGTAAAAAATTTTAAATCGAGTACAATAAGTTTTATTATAAATAGTAAAGTTTTAATAATAAGTTAATCATTTTAGAAAATGGTAGTTATAAATCTAATTTTTTTTTTCCATTTTTATGATAAATTGATATTAATAATAAAATTAAGGTAAATGGTATATATAATTCATATTTAGATAAGAGAAACGATAATAAAAAATAACAAATTTAATGAGAAAGGGTAAAAAATTATTTTTAAATGAGTTTGTTCTTAATTATAATAAATCAATAGTTTAGGAAAATATATATAGTTCATGGGGTTATTTGCAAAAAGGTAATAGTTCGGGGGGATTTTTCGCACTTTACCCTTTACTTTATTTATTTGTTAGACTAAACACACAAAAACATCAATAAATCAACTCGTGGTCACAATAATTATTCCAAAAACTAGTGAGAAACCTTTTTATTTTTATTTTTTATAACTAAGTTGAGATTGTACTTTGAGAAAAACATTCACGTGGAACTAAATGTATCCATGTAGATTAAAATAAGAAACATCTCCATTGTTTAGAAACACGTGATGAAGAATGAGTTGTACATATATTTTAAAGTCAAAATCAATGATAAGAATACATAGAAAGAAACTAGGGAAAAAGAAATATAAAAAAAGAAGTTACTGCTAAACTATTTAATAGCCAGGGAACATGGGCGGAGGTGGGGAAGAGTATTGTGTGCCCAAGTTTGGTGGGAGAATGAAGTCCTCGTGTCTTGGCGGTGGTAAAGAAACTATGTGAAAAGGAGGAGGAGTTAAGGATCGTGCAGGTGTTGGTGCTGGTGGATGTGATTGAACCAATGGTGAGATGGGAGATGGCTTAGGAGGAGATGAAACTGGTGGTAGTGATTGAACCGGTGGTGAGATAAGAGATGGCTTAGGAGGTATTGAAACTGGTGGATGCGATTGAACTGGTGGTGGGACTAAAGATGGTTTGGAAGGAGTTGAAACTGGTGTAGAACTTAGTGTTGGTGGATACGATTGAGCTGGTGGTGGGACAAGAGATGGCTTAGGAGGAGCTGAAATTGGTGTAAAAGTTTGGGCTGGGACTGGAGATGGCTTAACGGGTCTAAGAGGAGCTGAAATTGGTGTCGAAACTGGAGTTGGGATTGGAGATGGATTATGAGGTTTTTGAGGTGGAGAAATTGGTGTTTGAATTGGAGTCGGGACTGGAGAATGTTTAGGAGGAGCTGGAACTGAGGTATGAGTTGGAGCTGGTATGAGAGATGGCTTAGGAGTTTTTTGAGGTGGAGAAATTGGTGTTCGAATAGGGGTTGGGAAATGAGACGGTTTAGGAGGAGTTGAAACTGTTGTATGAAAAGGAGTCAGGACTGGAGATGGCTTAGGAGATTTCTGAGGCGGAAAAATTAGCATTCGAGTAGGAGTTGGGATTGGAGACGCTCTAGGAGGTGCTGAAATTGATGTATGAGTCGGAGTCAGAGCCAGAACTAGAGATGGCTTAGGAGGTTTCTGAGGAGGATAAACTAAAGTTCGATCCGGAGTCGTGGCCGGGATAGGAGACTGTTTGGGAGGTTTTTGTGGAGAACTTGGTGTTTTAATAGGAGCTGGAATCGGGGAAGGCTTAGGAGGTTTATGTGGAGACTGAATTGGTATTTGAGTCGGAGATGGGTTGGGAAATGCTTTAGTAGGTTTAGGGGGAGTTGAAATGGGTGCTTGAGTTAGAGCTGGGCCAGGAGACTCTTTTATAGGTTTAGGAGGAGCTAAAAATAGTGTTTGTGTAGGCACTGGCCCCGGAGATACTTTGCCAGGTTTAGAAGGAGTCAGAATTGGTGTCAAAGATGGAGTCGGGACATGAGATGGCTTTAGTGTGTGACTTGGTGGACTAAAGGTGGGCGGAGGAGGTGATGCTTGGGAAGAAGGAGTTGGCGGAATTGATATAGGGGGCTTAGATATGGGTGGTGGAGTATAACTCTTCGATGGTGTTGAAGGAGGTGGTGCTTGGGATGTTGGGGTTGGTGGAGTTGATGTTGAAGGTGTAGGAGGGGGTGATGCTTGGTTTATAGGGGTTGGTGGAATTGATGTTGGTGGCTTTGATGTGGGAGGTGGATTATAACTTGATGGTGTCAGAGGAGGTGATGTTTGGGATATAGGGGTTGGTGGAGTTGATGTTGGTGGTTTTGACGTGGATGGTGGATTGTACCTTGTTGATGGTGCCCGAGGAGGTGATGCTTGGGATGTAGGGGTTGGTGGTGTTGATGTTGATGATGTTAGAGGAGGTGATGCTTGGAATGAAGGGGTTGGCGGAGTTGATGTTGGGGGTTTAGATGTGGGAGGTGGAGAATAACTATTGGATGGTGTAGGAGGCGGTGATGCTTGGTATATAGAGGTTGGTGGAGTTGATGTTGGTGGCTTTGATGTGGGAGGTGGATTATAACTTGTTGATGGTGTCGGAGGAGGTGATGTTTGGGATGTAGGGGTTGGTGGAGTTGATGTTGGTGGCTTTGATGTGGGAGGTGTATTATGACTTGCTGATGATGTCAGAGGAGGTGATGCTTGGGATGTAGGGGTTTGTGGCGTTGATGTTGATGGTGTCAAAGGAGGCGATGCCTGGGATGAAGGGTTTGGCGGAGATGACGTTGGGGGCTTAGATGTGGAAGGTGGAGAATAACTATTTGATGGTGTTGGAGGAGGTGATGCTTGGGATGTAGTGGTTGGTGGAGTTGATGTTGATGGTGTAGGAGGAGGTGATGATTGGAATGATGGGGTTGGTGGAGTTGAAGTTGGGGGCTTGGATGTGGGAGGTGGTGTAGAACTATTTGATGGTGTTGGAGGAGGTGATGTTTGGGATGCAAGTGTTGGTGGAGCTGATGTTGGTGGCTTTGATGCAGGTGGTGGAGTATGACTTGTTGATGGTGTTGGAGGAGGTGATGCTTGGAATGTAGGGGTTGGTGGAGTTGATATTAATGGTGTTGGAGGTGGTGATGCTTGGGATGTAGGGGTGGGTGGAGTTGACATGGGAGGTGGAGTATAACTATTTAATGGTGTCAGAGGAGGTGATGTTTGGGATGAAGGGGTTGGCGGAGTTGATGTTGGTGGCTTGGATGTGGGAGGTAGAGAATAAGTGCTATATTTATGAGGAGGTGGTGATGCTTTTTGTGAAGGGCTTGGCGGAGTTGATGTTGGTGGCTTGGAAATGGGAGGTAAAATATATGTTTTTCCTTCTTGCGATGGAGGGGATAATTTGGATGATTGGCTTGGTGGAGTTGGGGTGGGTGGCTGGGTATAACTCTTGGATGGGGTCGGAGGAGGTAATGTTTGGGATGTAGGGGATGGTGGAGTTGATATTCGTGGAGTTGGTGTTGATGGTGTCAGAGGTGGTGAGGATTGGGATGTAGAGGTTGGCGGAGTTGATGGAGGTGGCTTGGATATGGCAGGTGGAGTATAACTCTTTGATGGTGTTGGAGGAGGTGATGCTTTTCCGCACTTCCATTCACAGAGATCAGGGATTTCTGAAGTGAACCTATTGTGAGTCAAAAGCAAAACATCATATTTCTTGTCAAAGAGTTTTACTGGAATTAATGGCCCTTCAAAATTGTTGAATCTGATGTCAATATATACAAGGGAATGTAACTCGAGAAGAACATCTGGAAATGAACCCACGAAGCGGTTATTGCTTACATCAAGCTCTTCCAAATGTTGTAGTTTATAGAAACTATTCGGGATGATTCCACAAAACCGATTAGAGTTGATGTGGAATGTAGTGAGATCAGTCAAAAGCCCGAGCTCAACTGGAAGGTACCCTGCTATATCACCATGGTTGAGATAAACACCAGAAACAACTGTTAATTTGGGATCATCACGTGCTGGTGTGCAAAGTATACCATTGTAAGCACACACATTCTCACCAACCCAATTGGCAGTTACATTATACGGGTCAGAGTAGATCGCTTTTTTCCATGCTTGAAGAGCTATATAAGCTCTCTTGAGTCTTGAATTTGCAAAAGTCAGTTTAATATCAATGTCTTTTCCAACCCCATCGGGAAGATCATTGTTTTGAGAAAGACTCAAAAGTTGCCGATGAGCAATATAGGATGCCTCAGCATCAGTTAAGGCCAAGGAGAAGGACGAGAAAGAAGAGAATAGAAGGGTGAATATAAGAGAGTAGGATGAGACTTTCATGTTTGCAACGCCAAACCACTACCTTGGATTGGTCCAAGGCTTCTTGCAATCGTCTATGAGTCTACTGGAGGGTCTTCTATGGAGGTGGAGGGAGGGCAGGGAGATGCTTTACCGTAGTCTCCATTTTTAGTCCCTGAATTCATGGGGCTATAATTTTAGGGGCAAAAATTTAGGAGTGATTCTGTTTATTTTGGTGTGCTTTAATTGGACAACTTTAGCAAATCTAACTAAAAGTTAACAATAAACATGTCTTCCTTTAGCTAATTTGCTTGACAAAGCACGGCCTTATTTTAAACATTCTTTAGCTGGCAATGACATTTTGGAAGGTATGTTATATATATCTTTTGATACACTGTCTGTTTCTTTCTTGTTATATTTTCTCCTTTTTTTTAGTCATCTGCTTTGTTGATGTAATTGATTTTGCTATGGGATCATGACTACATAGCTGAGCAAAAAAATCTTTTTTAAATTTGTTATTAAATGTTATAATTAGTTTTTGCTTTCATTTACCACATTGAATTCGGCCCCAGTTTCGGACACAATAAATACATGGTTTATAATGACTACAAGATCATGGTTTTTCTGAGAATCCAAAATATATAATATACATGTATATGTTTTATTTCAAGGATATGATATTCTGAATGTTACCGCTGACAAGTTTTACTTCGAAAACATTTGGAGAATAATATTGAAAAAGCAATTTAGAAACTGAGATGTAGGTTACAAGGTGTGGAAAGTTGAAAGAAACACAGGATCTGTATATATTTACATTGGGTTCATAATGTTAAGCTAATTGCAACTAGACAATCAAAAGTAAATATTGAAAAAATGTATATGAGAGCACCTTCGCTGCACCCATGAATAAGTTTATTAATTTAGAAGATTTCATTTCTAAAAATTTCTTTGCAGTAATTTAAAATTTGAAGTTTCAAATCAATATATATATAAATATATATATGTGATGTCTCATATTGCCTGTAGAGAGTAGTTCACTTGGAGATATCTTCTCCGAGTACACGCATTTATCCTGGACACCAAATAGGTGAGGAGTTTCTTGTTGAAAAAAAAAAAAAAAAAAAAAAAAACACAACTTTTAATAAAAGTAAGGACAACAGTCTAGTAGTTCTTCCTTGATACAAAGCAAGAACCGTACTTTCTCCTGTGCTCCGTCATATGCCCTTACATTGTTACCCCTCTCATGTGTCGGTTCATACGTTGCTTCATCTCATGCATGTACATCACTTATGCAATAATTTACATCACTTATACAACTACATTACATCATTGTTTCATGGTGTTGCACTTTGTCATGAGATCTGAGGAGGAGATTCGAATTTCTAAAGTAAAAGGTCAGGGGATGTGTGAGTTTCATAAGTGCTTAATATTTAATGTTCGAACCCTCAAATGTGCAAATGTTAATGCCCTAGCGTTGTTTTATTCTGGTTTTTATATTTATTTTTGTTTAATTGCTTTTTGTAGGTTATTGCCGGAAGATAAGGAGAAGATCATGGTTTTGAAGCTTGAAGTAATGTTCTAGACCTTCCGAGACGGTTTTGGAGTCAACAGGAGAAATTGATGAAGTCAAGGCCCCAGAGCTCGAGCACAGCCCATTTGTGCTCGAGCATGGACTTCCCAGAAATCTTAGCCCATTTGTACTCGAGCATTGACTTCCCAGAAATCCTAAGACGTAGAGAAATATGGCAAAACTCAAGGATGTTTCTTTTATCGATGAGCAAGTCACAAGAATTCAAGAATTAATTGCGGGTGCCAACATCCCACCAATTTCAAGAATTCAAGATTTCTTCAAGAAAAGCATTGGTACCTTGCCGGTCCGGCCATCTTCACATCCGTTGATCTATCCTCCTCAGTGCCATTCACTCAGATATTCGCAAATGGGGTACTTGGTTCTTCCTGTCGTGGCATATTGATATGGATATAGAAGGTGAGTATTGATATGAATAAAATTGACAGTGACAAGCATTCCAAAATATAAAACAAAACCATAAATGAATGAGGACTCCAATATGGTACTCACAGATTTAATCCCAGCAACAAAAAAATAGACTTTTTAACAACCACAACCCCAAAAAGACAATCACAAACACTAAGATGTGTTCTCCTTTTTGGCTCTGGACACTTGTGTTGATGGGGATAAAAAACTCTTTGGGTACCATCATGTTATGAGAAAAAGGATATTTGATTTGAAGGAAATAGAAGAGAGATCGAGAGTTGTGGGCGTGGATGTGGTGGCGTCAGGTGTTTGAAACCTTAGAAATCATTCTTCAACAATCACCGCGCCATAAATAGAGAGAGAGTTGTAGGGAGAGAAAGTGGTTGTATTGACATGGAAAAGATAGTTTTTATTTGATATCTATATCTATATCTATATATATATATATATATTTTATTTTTGAATAAGAAGAGTTGGCATAATCCAATCGGGGCTGGAAGTTATATCCATCCACCCCATCAATTTAAGTGGAGGTGTCAAGAAACTCGTAGTTTAAACAAAGTCATAGCCTCATAGTCTAGTTATTTAAAATTGAAGTTCTACAGTACATCGGGTACATGTGGCCCCATTCACTACATTTAAGTGGGTGTTTGGGATTGCTTCTCTATTTTTTAAAAACACTTCTATTTTAAAAAATTGCGATGTAATGTGTTTGGTGAAAAAAAAAAAAAAGCCCTTCTAGATAGTAGAGGTTAGATCTAAAAAGCGCGTTTAAATGAAGTTAGAAATCGTAACTTTTAAAATTGCGTTAAGATAGAGGTCCATGTTTTTAGGTAACTAATTTTCTTTTTAACAATTTAATCCCTTTATATTTTTTATAAATACAATTGTATCCCTTCTACAAACAAATAGTAAACAACATGGACTGTGTAACAAACTAAAATCCTAATTTATTTTGGGACTCTCCAGCCTTCCAATCCCAGTTTATTTTGGGATTCTAAATTATATAATTGTTAATTACTTAATTTTTAATAAATTATGATTTTTAATTTGTTTTTAAAATAACTATAATACATTTATACTATTATCTTAAATAACAAGTAATAAGATTATTAATTGTGGTTAAAGTGTTTAGTTTTATTTTATGAAATGTTGTCTATATTGCAAAATATTATATTATTAAATTTTATTATTTGATAGCATATGAACAAATTTGCTTATTTTATTACTGGAAAATTCCAAATCAGATACAAGTTAATCATCATTAAAATATGTTTAACTCATTTATATTTTAGTATTCAATACAAATTCAATATCATAAACAAAATATGTGATTAAAAAAAAAAGTATAAGTTGATCTTTATAAATTATTCAACTTAGTGAAATTTTATAATATTTAATATTAGGGAATTAGTATATGTTTAGTGTAAGGGTAATATAGTAAAATTAGTAATAAAAGTGCTTTAAGCAACATTATTACTAACCAAATTTAAAAGTGTTTCAAGTATAAAAAATACTTTATACAATGTATCACCAAACGCTTAACTGCATTTTACTGGCAGCACTTTTATAACAGTTCTACTATTAAAAGCACTTTTAACATTCTAACAGCAATCCCAAATTGGCTCTTAATGGTCGGGAGATTTGTACAATGATTCGGATATTTTATAATTTTTTGGAGATAGTTCAAGACTGTTTAATGCATTTTAATAGGGGTTGGTATTTAGTAAAATTCCAGGCAGATGGTGGCCCATGCAGGTGTGTGGAAGGCCATTTACCTTAAAATTAACATTAATAATGCTAGTTACACATAATGAACCTAGTTAAGAACCAATTACACAGAATGAACCTAGTTAAGAACCAAGTAAAAACAATTACATAATGTGCTTGATAAATTGTTAATGCAAAATTCTACTTAATCCGAAACTGGATGCCTTTCTTTTTTGCTTTCACAATTCATATCTTCCAAGAAAAATGGGAATACACAACGGCATAATTACAACGTGCCTAATTTCATGTTGTTAAGAGATAGCTTTTTACAGTACTCATTTTTCAGAAGTGGAAAAAAAGTGGTGGAGAACCCTCAAACTCATCTTTGAAGCACTTGAGGAGTTGGACTTACTTTTGATAGACATAGTGTTTAGAACTTGTATATGTGTAACCTTTTGATGTTTATGGATGACTTGTAAATGATGATATATTTTGTCATGCATGTACATTTGGTGGCTATTTTATTTTATTTTATTTTTTTGTGTATTTTAGGGAGGAATGATAGGAAGACCGATAATCCATCTTTTGTGGTCTAATTATAATTCCTACTCCATCCTAGAATTCTAGAGCCATTTAACGATGTAATTTGAATCTACTATGTTGTATGAACGCTGCCACATCGATGTATCTATGTATGTGAATGTGTTAGTGTTAGGGATAATTAACTCCCTCAAACCCATTCAACGGTCGGCTGTTGTTGAGAGTTAAATCCGTCATTCATCACATACAGCGAAAGCATCATCACATCACATCAACACAAGTATATATGGAGATAATAATCACACACATCCATGCACAATACAATATTTTACATAGTTCACCCAACTCTAGGGTTACGTCCATGGGAGAGAGAGATTTCACTATTATGAATCAAGGAAGAGAATATACAATCACATGTCAAAATCTCACTCACTCACTCATATCATCTCTTATGAGGCTACATGTATACACTCGGTAATTACATATACTCACTTTCTCCTCACAACACTCAACCTTAAACCCTTTACATCTTTACATCTTTTCTCTCTTCTCTCTTTCTCTTTAAATCCCTCCACCCATCTCTATTTATAGAGTCTTCAAATCCAATTCCTTATTGGATAAGTATTCCCCAACTTTCATACAAGGAGTTACCATATCAATCTCAACTCTAAAATAGAAACTTAATTGGATATAATTTCCTTCACAATATTCAGCATTCTAAAACGGAAAAGGAAATTAATTTATCCACACAATTTTGAGCCACAAACCCAACACTTTCCACCTTGGCTTGAAATTG